GTGCGTCCGCGAGGGGCGGTGCCTACGTGCGCGAGACCTGCGAGAGGCGGGGGAGTACTACAGAGTGGCGGGGTAGCGGAAGGGGAGGGGCCTCCGCCTGTCCGTCAGCGTGCACGCCCCGCCTTCTCCCCGGGCGGGTTCGCTGGTCCCTGCGCATGCGGAGCCTCTTCCTCTTTCCCCTTCCCTACTCGGTCCGTGTCAAAGCATAGTTTCTGCTTGTGTTTATTGTGGTAAATACACGTAAAACTTACTATCTGAGCCATTTCGTTTAGTATTTATTTTAAGCAAAGAAAGATACAACAGTCACAATAATACATTGAACTTTGAAGAGGAGAGAACAGAACTGAAGTTACCGGAGGTGGGAACGGGGGACGTGGAGGCGACAAGGGAGGAATTGGTAACGGGCCTTGAAAATCCGTTATCTTGTCTAATGTTGAATCATCCTGATTTGAGCATCACATATTGCACACAGGTATTGACGTTCAACTCTGTGCCCCACAGGTATGTACAACCAGTTATCAATACAAAACGAAATATATATATATATATTGTGGGAAAACACCAGTAACGTCAATCTAGCATAGTAGCCATCTGTCAGTGTCCAGTTCAGCGGCATTAAATGCATTCATAATGTTGTGTAACCATCACCACCATCCATCTCCAGAACTTTTGGGGGCGGGGGGCGGCCGGCGGGTAAGGGGATCTGAACCCTTGACCTTGGTGCTGTCACCAGCTCTCCCGAGTGAGCCGACCGGCGAGGCTCCAGGACATTTTATTTTCCCAAACTGAAACACCGTTCTCATTGAACACCAACTCTTCCCCTAGGCCCTGGGCCCCACCATTTCATTTTCTCTCTCTGAACATGACGACTCTAGAGACCTCATATGAGTGGAATACTACAGTATTTGTCTTTTTGTGTTTGGCTTACTGCACTTAGCATGATGTCCTCAAGGCTCCTTTTTAAGGAAGAATAATCTTCCATTGTATGGATAGATCGTGTTTTGTTTATCCACTCATCCCTCAGTGGACACTTGGGTTCCTTCCATATCTTGGCAGTTGTGGAACATGGGTGTGCATATATGTGCCCTGTACTCTGATTTCAGTTCTTCTGTGTGTATGCCCAAAGTGGAATCACTGGATCATACACTAATTATTGAACTTTTTGAAGAACCACCATACTGTTTTCCTAAGAATCTTAGTTTGCACAGGCTGCTATAACGAAGTGCCACAGACTGGGTGCCTTGAACAACTGACATTTATTTCTCACAACTCTGGAGGCCAGAAGTCTGAGACCAAGGTTTTGTCAGGGCTGGTTTCTCCTGAGGCCTCTCTCCTTGGCTTGCAGAGGGCTGTGTTCTCCTTGTGTCCTCACAAGGTCGTCCCTCTTTGCATATCTGTGTCCTGATCTCCTCTTCTCATAAGGACACCAGTCCTGTCAGATGCGGTCCCATTCTGAAGATCTCATTTAACCTTCATGACCTCCTTAAAGGCCCCATCTCAAAATTCAGCCACACTGGAGGTTAAGACCTGCTGGGGTCTGAATGTTTGTTTCCCCTCAAAATTTGTATAATGAAATCCTCACCCCCAAGATGATGGAATTAGGAGGTGTGGCCTTTGGGAGGTAATTAGGTCATGAGGGTAGAGCCTGATGAATGAGATTAGTGCCCTTATAAAAGACACCCAGAGTGCTCCCTTGCCCTTCCGCCAAGCAAGGACACAGAGAGAGGGCACCATCTATGAACCAGGAGACAGGCCCTCACTTGACACTAAATCTGCCATGCCTTCATCTTAGACTTCCGGCCTCCAGAACTGGGAGTAATAAATTTCTGTTGTTTGTAGGTCACCCAGTCCATGGTACTGTGTTATGGCAGCCAAACTGCAGACAGGGCTTCAACCTATGATGTTGCTTGGACACAATTCAGCACATACACTAAGCATAATTTTTGAACTATAGTTTCCCCACCAGCTACTGTCCCCAATTTTTGTCCACCTTTTCAGGGAAACTTTGAGAGAGCCTGTGAGCTGTCTGTCCCTGATACCTCGCTTCCTACTCCCTCTTAAACCCACACCTGCTCCCCTAAGAAAACTCCTGCCAAGGCTGGAGCTGAGGCCTTGCCACTGAGGCCTGGGGTCCGAGTCGCCCACTGTCCCTCCTGCCCTGGTCTGCTGAGGAGAGCCTTCTGGGAGCAGCATGTGAACCAAGGCTGTGGGCAAAGCCACATGCAGCCACACAGGGTCCCAGTGCAAGAGAAGCACCCTGAGCCCAAGCGCCTGAGCCACATCAATAAATAAAGTGGTGTTGTCTGCCACTACATTTTGGGCGACCAAAGACCTCCACATGGCTAAAATCCAGTGGTGAGTCCTCTTTCCTGGGCCCTTTGGCTGCACCTGATACTTGTCCTTCTGTCTTCCCTGGCTTCCAGGAGGCTTTCCTCCTACCTCACCAGCTGCTCCTTAGGGTCTCCTTGGTGACTTCTGTCCAACCTCCTCATGTGGTGTCGCTGACCAGTACCCCAAGGGGAGACGGTGGGAAATGAAGAGAGACACGTATGGGATCAGGAGGACCTTTTCGGGCTGCTGACCTGTAAGGCATCCTAGTTTATTTTACATTTCTTTTCATAAGCCAGTGAAAATAAATCGTACTGATTAAATCAGTTATGTCTGGTACCAAGTTATCTATAGAACATTTTCAGCTGCCACAGCACTTGAAGATTCATAGCTAACTTCTTATCAACAAAGGAAGAACATAAGTTTCTCATTTACAAAGCTTCCAGGGTCCTGGGTTCAATCAAAGGTCAGACCTCAAGGGGAGGGAGAAGGGGGAAGTAGGCAAAAGGGATGCCAGCCTTGCTGACCCAATCCCTAGAATAGCAAGGATGGTGTCAGCTTGCTTGTTCGGTACCCCACAATGTGGGGGCTCCCCATCCCTCACTCTCACAAATCTCATCCAGTGATGCAGCTTTCCATACTATCTATACACCGATGACTCCAAATGGAAGTCTAGTCCACGTGTCCTCCCCAAGTTCCAGACCCCTGTCAGGCACCCACCCCATTGCATGTCTGATGCCTCGATCTTTTCATGTTCAAGGATGAACCCCGCATCTCTCCCGAGCCCCTGGCTCTCTGTGGGCAGCAACTCTCCCTCTCCTGTGCTCAGCACAAAGCCCTGTGTGGTCCTTCAGGTCAGAGCTACCCTCTCCTCACCATCAGAGCTGCTGCCACCGCCTAGGGTGACCCTTCACCACATGTGAACTGGACTGCTCCCCAGTCTCCCCTGTGCTCACCCCCCCCCACTCCCCAGATAACTCAGAGCCCTGCTGAAAGCCCCACAGCATCAGACGCAACTCTGCCCCTGTTCCTGATCTCTGTCCCCCACTCCCCAGCCACCGGAGACACCCCCATCCCCAACAGACACACAATCCCCTAATTCCTCCAAGTTCAGGCCCAGAGGCCACCTCCCAACAAACCTGGCTCTGACCACCTATTAACCACTTATGTCTGGTGTCTTAGTCCACGTGGGCTGCTATAACACAGTGCCATAGCCTGGGCAGCTTGTACGTAACAGAAATTTATTTCCCAGAGTTCTGAAGGCTGGAAGTCCAAGATCAAGGCGTGGCAGATTTGGGGTGTGGCGAGGCCACTTCCTGGTTCATAGACGGTGCCTTGTCACGGGGTCCTCATGTGGTGGAAAAGGCAAGGCAGCTCTCTGGGGTCCTTTTATGAGGGCACCAGACCCATTCCTGAGGCTCCACGCTTGTGACCTCATCACCTCCCAAAGGCCCCACCCCCTAACACCATCACCTTGGGGGAGAGGGTTTCAACGTAAGAAATTTGGGGGGAGGAGCACCAACATTCAGCCCATAGCACGTGCATTTTTCCTACGTCTTATTTTGACATTTCCCAACCTACAGAAACTGTGAAGGGGTAATACAATGAAGGACTGGCCCTGTGGCATTCACCTAGATTCACGCATGTTCTTTTGCCACCTCTGCCTTATCCATCCGTCTTTTTCTTCATTTTTGCTGGACCATTGGGATGTCAGCTGTAGATAGCAGACACCCTGTCCCTGAGTGTCTCCCAAGGAAAAGAGCAGGCCCCATCCTGCCCACAGCTCCTCACCCTCCCCATCAAGGTGATATGCCCAGACCCCATCAACTTCTCCAGTCACATCCTTGGTAACTGCCCCATTTTTCCAGCTGGGGTCCCACATGGCATGTGGCTGTCACCGCCACATCCCCTTCGTCTTTAATGTGGGACACCAAACCCACCCCCACTCGCCATGGAACCTGGGCCTGTCCTCCTGCAGAACGTCCCTCTGAGGACTTGGCTTTGTTCACCACATAGCTGAACTCAGAGTGGACAGTCGTGGCAGGATCCACATGCCAGTGGAGCCATATCCACTCACTACTTCCTCAGGGAGTGGTGTCCCTGTGCCCCACTGTGGATGACTGGACCTCATTTCTTGGATTCCATTTTGGGTGGCCTCCCCACCATAAAGGGGCCTCTCCCCTGTCATAGGTGACCCATCTGCAAGGCAGCCCTGACAGCTTTTCCCCCAGTGGACTTAGTACCTGGCCACCCTTGTCCAGGCTGTCCTTGTCTTGCTGTGCTCCCAGGGCTTCCTAACTCCTTTTTTTCCTTTTGTTTTGGTTTTGGCAGCTGGCCAGTTCAGGGATCCAGACACGTGACCGTGGTGTTATAAGGCTGTGCTCTAATCAACTGAGCCCACCGGCCAGCTCAGCCCTCGACTCCTAACCCAACGTACCAAAGTCTCTTTTGTTCAAAACATCTTTTGTTTATGGCCAACACGTGACCTTGGTGTTATAAGGCTGTGCTCTAATCAACTGAGCCCACCGGCCAGCTCAGTCCTCGACTCCTAACCCAACGTACCAAAGTCTCTTTTGTTCAAAACATCTTTTGTTTATGGCCCAGAGCTCCAAGCAAGCAGAAGTCTTTAGGTAGCTGTTAGAGAAAAAATTACTCAATGACGCTTGTGAAATCACGGCAGGGAGGACTTTCTTCGGCACATTGCCGTAGGCATAGGGCTCGGTGCAACAAGGTTTTGCAACGAGGGAGAGAGACTGGGCTGAATTCTGAATACAGCTTGGGCAAGAGGGGATTTATAGCCAAGGAGCAGGGCGGAGGGGCGGGGTGGTCCGTGGAGGGAAAGTTTCTAAGAGGGGACATCAGGGTGTAAGGGGGATTCTGGTTAAACCAGCCTAACACGATTCTTGCTGCAGACAGGCCAGGGTGACCAGACATCACCTGGGGGATGTGGGGGGGGGGGCGGTAAGGAGCTGATCAGATATCGAGGGTGGGGGATTCTTGCTAAACTGGCTTAACGAGGTTCTTGCTAAATCTGTATTTTACAAGGATGTGCACAGATGGGCCTAGGAAAGGTTCAGGAGCCAGACTCAAGCTTGGCCAAGCAGAGCATGGCTATCACAGCTCACTGCCATGTCCCTTCGCCTAGGAGGGCAGTGCCCAGCACGCATGAGGCCAGTTCGGTTAACACTGGGCGAATCAATGAGTTTCCATCCCAGGCGTGTCTCCACAGAAGGGGCCTGTGTGAGCACTTGATCACATCACGGGCCCAGTGTAATCAGACCCCAGCCCCTGGACTTGGCCTTCAAAGCCCTTCCCTTCCACCCGTCCCTCTGGCTGCAGTCTCCTCGCCCTTGAACTCATACTTGTCCTTCAGAACCCTTCTCAGGGCCTGCCATGTCTGCCCCAAAACCCTTTAAGGCCCTGAATCCCTCCCAGCTGGGCCTGCCGAGTGATGGGGCGGAGCCCGGGCTGCCGGTGTGGTGAAGGGCATGGAGTAGCCCAGCTGGGACCCCTGAGGTCCCTGAGTCCTCAGTCTCCATCCACCTGGCTGGCTTCCTGGTTGAGGCTAGCCGGGCCTGGAATTGCTCCCTGGCCTCTGGCCACTGGCCGGCCATCCTTTCCTCTGCCACGACCTGGCATTCCTGAGGGTGATCTGGCACCTCCCTGCCAGCAGCAGGGAGGACGGAGCGGAAGCCGGCCAAGACAACACCCGGTGGGGGACAACACCTCAGGGTGGGGGCGCGTGCCTCCGACCTCACGTCAGCCCATTCCAAGGCCAGCAGAGGAATTTGCTTCCCACCCATGCGCCAGCAGGAAGGGTGCGCAGCCGACCCGCTGCCCCAGGCCCGCCGGCCACTCCGACTGCTCCCTTCTGGCCTCCTAATCCCTCGTGCCAAGCTTGCCAAACGGGCTGTTGAAATGCAGAATGAACCCAAATGAAACGAAATGGAACGTTCGGCTCCTGAGTTGCGTGGGCCACATTCCAAAAGCCAGAGCCAGTTCTGGCCCGTGTCCCCAGGCCACCTCGTCTGGGAAGCTGCCTCAGTTCCTCTGCACCAGACTGGCCAGCTCGACACCCAGCATTCCCCCATATGTGTTTTTTGTTTTTCTTTAAGGAGCTAAGTGACCATGAAGTGCTAGGTTTAGTAGTTGCAGAGTTTAGCCTCTGGGAGTGGGGAAGAGACTGCGGCATCTTAGATACTGCGTCATGCACAGGTGGGAGATGATAGCTGGGTTAGGGGCTTGGGGCTTGGGCCTGAGATGGTGGCTGTGTCCAGACTGTCAAGGAGGTGGTCTTGGAGGTAGGACCAGTGGATGGCATGGAGGTTGTGACTGCTGTTCCCCTTCTGAGTGGCGAGGGCACTGCAGCCTGGCCCCCGGAGGCTGCGGGTAACCAAGGGCCCCATGCTGGCCTCAGTGGCCAGCTGCAGCCAGATCCCATTGCCAGAGACATTCTCTGAGGCCGCGGGTCCTGGACCATCAGGAGGGGTGGGGAGCTGGAAAATTGGCCGGGCCTGGGGGTTCCAGCCCCTACTTCCCAGCGGCTGCTGGGGGGTGGCAGTGGTTTCCTGTTATTCTCTCCAAAGGAAGGAGAAGGAAGCTGCCCCCGTTCTGGTGGGGTCTCTGCGCATCATCATATCCCCTCCCCACCCCCGTAGCCCTCCACGGACCTCCATGAGCAGCCGGCGATTTGGCTGAGGCCATGGGAACGGATGGAGATGCAAGGGGAAGGCCATTCCCATCTGATCCTGCTTCGACACCGTCCCCAGCCCTGGCTCTGCCCTACCGTGGACAGGGCCCCACCCATCCCTCGGAGACCACCGGCCTGCCCCAGAGCTCAGAAGAAGGGGACAGAAGAGGAAAGGGGGTCACGGTGACTGCCGAAGGTCGGTCGGCAGTGCCCAGGATCAGCTCTCCACCCTTGTGGCATCCCTCCTGGTCGGTGGGGAAACTGAGGCACGAAGGTTTTTTTTTTTTTTAAGTAAAGTGACAATGAAGTGCTAGGTTTAGTGGTTGCTGGGTTCAACCTGTGGGATTCAGTAGACTTGAGTATCTTAGATACTGCATCATGCACAGGTGGGGGATGACAACCTGGGTAGGGGCTTGGGGCTTGGGCCTGAGAATGATGGCTGTGTCCAAACTGTCTGGAAGTGGGTCTTGGAGGTAGGACCCAAAGATGTCGCAGAGGTTGGGGCTCACCTAGCACAGCCAGGGACGCTCTCGTTGGGAAGACGTGACAACAGAAACTAGGTCTGCACCATAAAACACTCATGGAGCGGTAGGGACCACGATGGCCCACCTAAACCCTCAGTCTCTGAGGAGGGAGGCCTATCCCTTAGCCTCCCTTCTCCCCTGGTAATCAAGCTTTTGGTTGGACATATGCCTTCTAATATGGGCAGAATTCTACTCCCCCAAAATTCACATGTTGAATTTTGTCCTCACACCAAGGACCTCAGAATGTGACTGTATTTGGAGACGGGGTCTATAAAAAGGTGATTAAGGTAAATTGAAGTCATTACGGTGGGCCCTAATCCAATCTAACTGGTGTCCTTATAAGAAGAGGAGATTAGGGCACATGCACAGAGGGACGACCATGTGAGGACACGGAGAAGACACCATCTGCAGCCAAGGAGAGGGGCTTCGGGAGAAACCAACCCTGCCCACACCTGGATCCAAGACTTCCAGCCTCCGGAACCACGAGACATAAATGTTTGCTGTGTAAGGCACCCAGGGTGTTGTGCATTGTTACGGCAGCCTGAGCACACTGAGATCCCTTCCAAAACAGAGGCCCCACCTGCGGCTTCCTTTGCGGTGGGGGGCGCTTTAGCAGGCTCTGGCTGATGGGGTGGGTTTGACTCACAGTTCACCAGAGAAACAGAACTAATAGAAATATAGATACTATATGCTATATTCTGTATCTCTGTGTCTATCTCTATATGCAAAGACTGAGTTTTCCCACAAAAGACACATTTCTACCTTTGGTCTGCCCATGATGGTTAATTTTGTGTCCACTTGGCTGGGCCACAAGGTGCTCAGATATCTTGCCAAATATTATTCTGATGTGTCCGGAGGGTGCTTCTGAATGAGATTAGCATTTGAGCCGGTAGACTGCGTCACGCAGGTGGCCCTCCCTGATGTGGGTGGGCCTCGTCAATCAGGTGAAGGCCCGAATTGAACAAAAAGGTGGGGGGAGGGTGGCCACACCCAGTTGCCAAGTGAGGCAGAAACCCCATCGCCGCCACCACAGAGCCCCAGCCTCCCCAGTGTGGCACCCTCAGCGGCACAGCCTGGAACCCGGAGGTGGCCCGTCGTAGCGCAGAGCCCTCCTGTCTGGGCTCTGGGCTGGGTTTGCTTTCCCTCCCTAAGGCTCCATTTCTGGCCTTTCCATTCATGACTTCCTGGGGCTGGGCTTACCTGGGGCTGACGGTCAGCCAGGCAGGCCCCAGAAAGGAGAGGGCCTCAGCCTACAGTTGGCATGGGACCAGAGTCAGGCTGAGGTTAGACTTGGGCTTAGCCAGGGCTTGGGTCCCCGTCCTCGAACACCAAAGAAAGAGGGGTTTACAGGCCAGAAGACGCTGCCAGGGCTGCCCCAGACTTCAGGGAGGCGGGGAAGGAGCTGGGTCACCAGATGTCTGTATCCAGGTGGCAGCAGCTGGTCTGCCCCTACCGTGCCCACCTCACCAAAACCACCCTGCAGGCTCTGGCAGCGTCCTAATAACAGCAGGGCCTGAGACAGACTGCTCTCAGTCCCCTGAGCTGCAGACTGACCTTGGGCTCTGAGCATCTGGCCTGACTGTGTTCTTTGTTTCTCACCATCTGTGAGCTCTGCTGAGCCCACACCCCGTCCCAGCCCACTGCCTGGCACCAGGCAACACCTGCGTGTGTCTGATGAGCTACAGGGGATTAACGGGCACTGTGTTCCCCGCCTGACCCTGGGGAGGGGTGTCCTCTCCCAGCCAGCCCAGAGTCTCCCCCAGCAGCTAGTGATGAACACGTGCACGCACGCACACACGTGCACGCACGCACACACATGCATGCACTCACACATGGACGCACCCGCACACCGTACACACATTCGTGCATAGCCACACACACGCGTGCACACATGGTTATAAACAAACATTAGTTTTATTTCACTCCCTTTGGAGGCTGTCTGAATTAAGGAGGAGGGCAGAGAGGCTGTGGGACCCTGGAACCTCCTGTCCCCAGCATGGCCAAAGCTGCGGCCCCTGACCAGCACCTTGTTGGTCCAAGCTGCAAGGCACCGTCGACATCTTTGCAGAATTTCAAGTATGTCCCAGAGAAAGCTCAGCGGTGGGGTGGTCCTGGCCACCCCAGGCTCCCTCCAAGCTTCAGCCCTCAGTCTATCTCAGGCAGGGAGCTGGGAAGGGGTGCAGACCAGGACTGGGCAAGGGGCCACCTGGGATTGCCCCCAGCCCTGCAGGAACCAGGGCTCGGAGGCTGCGGGTGCTGGAAAAGGAGCCCATTTGCTGTTGCAGGGAGTGGGGACAAGCACAGCCGCCCCACGCCCATGCCGGGCATCCCCAGGCGTCCCACATGGGCTGCTGCAGGGGAGCTCAGAGGGAGGGGGGCCTTCCCAGCGGGGGCATCCCCGAGGGTCCATCTGTCTCAGGATGGCCCTGACGGGGGAGTCAGTGCGCCAACCTTAGCCCCGCCCTTCCCTTGGGGGTCATAGACCAGAGATGGTGACCCTGGATAGCTGTCACGCTAGCTACCTCCTCCCCACCCCACCTTAGCCCAGGAGGTGCCCAAGCCAAGGCCTCCCTAACGCCTTTGGCCCCTCTGCCGACGGCGAACGAAGGACGCTACCACTCGGGTCTGCGCGAAGCCAATGGCTGGGCAAGCGCAGCAGATTTCCACGGCAGCCCAGCTCTTCCAGCCCTCAGCCCTTTCCCAGGGCCCCCGCCCAGTGCCCCTGGGCCCCCGGCCCTCAGATCCACACGGTGGTCTTCACGTCCCTGCTGCTGGCGCTACCCTTCTCCGAGCCGGCCCTGGGCTTGGCGCCCGGCCGCTCCTGCGCCTCCGGCCGGCCCCGCTCCCCCACGGTGCCCCCCGAGGTGGCGCTGTCCGACC